TATATAAATAAAATTAAGATACTTTGTTAACTTTATCATGGAATGATTTTGTTGTTTTTTCGGAAGAATTTAAACTTTTTGACAAGAGTTACTACTAGTTCTGACAAAATTGTGCGAAACATTGACTGAAATAAAAAGTTTTTTTTTGTCGTTATCAGGAAAGCAAAAATGTTTTTTTTAACTTTATTGTAAAATGCGGTGACTTAATTTAAAGAAATCGCGTCCCTCGAACGAAAAGCACTTGTTTAATTACTCGTTCCTATATTTTGTAATTATTCTACTGCCATTTAATAAAATAGGTTAAAACAGAAAATCCAGGAATGTTTCAAAAACAAATACTAAAGTTTTAAGACCTTTGTTTCTAAAATAATAACTTGCAAATACGATTAAACTTTTGAAGAATTATAGTAACACAGATTATTGAGAATAGATTTACTTCTGGGTAGATTACACATAATTTGGAACGTTAAAGTACTAACATTAATCTGATGAAAGAACAAGAGACAATGTTCGTTTACAAATACGATTAAACTTTTGAAGAATATAAGTAACGCAGATTATTGAGAATAGATTTACTTCTGGGTAGATTACAAATAATTTAGAACGTTAAAGTACTAACATTAATGGCCCGGCATGGCCCTGAGGATAAGGCGCTCGACTCGCAATCTGAGGGTCGTGGGTTCGAATCACCGTACCACCAAACATGCTCGCTCTTTCAGCCGTGGGGGCGTTATAATGTGACGGTCAATCCCACTATTCGTTGGTAAAAGAGTAGCCCAAGAGTTGGCGGTGGGTGGTGATGACTAGCTGCCTTCCCTCTAGTCTTACACTGCTAAATTAGGGACGGCTAGCGCAGATAGTCCTCGTGTAGCTTTGTGCGAAATTCAAAAACAAACAAGCAAATTAAAATTAATTTGATGAAAGGTCAGGAGAAAATGTTCGTTTACAAAGAAAACCAAATTGACTACCCGGTTATATTTAGATACATGATATATATTTAACTTTACATTTGACTTCTTTTGATCTGTGACTTCAAGGAAGTGTTTTAAGTGATTTTTTAACTTATTGAAAGGAAAATACAGTGACATCCTTTGCTTTCATAATTTGACCAATAACAGAAGACAGTAGAAGAAAATCGGTTTTATTACATTTTTCGTAAAACGATATTACATTAATAAATATATCTGTAAGTAGCAATATAATAATATATATATTCATATTTTCACAGGCTTTCCATTGACTTAATATATTGGAATTCTTGTAGAATTTTTGTTTGTTCGATAATCTCTTTCAATTTTGAATTGGCTGTATCAGCCAAAATAAAGATAAAAATTGAGCATCCAAAAATTCCAACATTTTAAAAAATAAATGTTACTTTCAGCACAAATACATCCAAGCAGACGATAAAAATCTCACCTACGGCTATACACAAATTATTCTTTATCGATGGTATGTCATTCGTCCAAAAGAGGACAGCTAAAGACTTACAACTTTCATAATAATATGACATAGCCTTAGAATGTTTCTATAAGAAATCCTTCATGAATACTGAATACAATGAAAAACAAAATAATTCAAACTTTTTTGAAATATTTTTATACACGATATTATTCCAATGGATTCATATAATATAATTAAGAAACAAGAGGGAATCCTCAATAGCCGCGGCACTTGAAATTCATTTACGAAGGATTAGAGTAAATTAATCTATGAGACCTTTTTTTATTAGCTATATTTTTGTGCGTCAGCTATACCAAGTGTGGGGTGCGCGTATACTGTATTAGATTTTATTACTCATC